ACCAAGGCACATCATCATTACATTAGCCAAAATTAAAATGAAGGAGAGAATCCTAGAAGCAGCAAGAGCTAAGGGGACAGTCACCTACAAAGGAGTCCCCATCAGACTGTCAGCTGATTTCTCAAAAGAGACCTTACAGGCAAGAAGGGGCTGGAAAGAGGTATTCCAAGTCATGAAATCCAAAGACCTACAACCAAGATTGCTCTATCCAGCAAAACTTTCATTTATAATGGAAGGACAGATAAAGTGCTTCTCAGATAAGATCAAATTCAAGGAGTTCATCATCACCAAGCCCTTATTATATTAAATGTTAAAGGGACTTATGTAAGAAAAAGAAGTTAAAGAAACATGAACAATGAAAGGACAACAAACTCACAGTTATTAACAACCACACTTAAAACAAAAGCAAACTAAAAGGACAGCTAGATCAGGAGTGGAAACATAGAAATGAAGATCTCAAGGAGGGTTAGCAACAGGGGCGTGAGAGGAGGAGAAGGGGGGAGAAGGTACAGAAAATAAGTAGCATAGACAGTAGATAGAAAATAGATGGGGGGGCAAGAATAGCATGGGAAATATAGAATCTAAAGGACTTGAGACACATGGTTATAAATTGAAGGGGGGGTAATGGTGGGGATGGGGGGTAGGGTGGAGGGGAATGAAGCGGGGAATAGAACAACTGTAACAGCATAATCAATAAAAATATTTAAAAAAAAGAAATACTAAAAGGACTGCTTTAAGGAAAGGAAGAAAAAGAGGGAAACAGACAGGAATACAGGTACAAAAATGGCAATGAATAAGTACCTATCAATAATAACCTTAAACATAAATGGATTAAATGCTCCAATCAAACGACACAGAGTAGCTCAATGGATAAGAAAGCATGACCCACACATATGCTGCCTACAAGAGACCCACCTCAGGACAAAAGACCATCACCTACTAAAAGTGAAAGGCTGAAAACAAGTTTTCCAAGCAAACGGACAAGAAACAAAAGCTGGGGTAGCAATTCTCATATCAGACAAAATAAACTTCAAGAAAAGGGTCATAAAGAAAGATGCAGAAGGTCACTTCATTATACTTAAGGGAAGAATCCGCCAAGAAGACATAAACATCATAAACATATATGCACCAAACATAGGGGCACCCAAATATATCAAGAAAATCTTAGAGGACTTCAAGAAAGATATTGACAGCAACACAATTATAGTAGGGGATTTGAACACCCCACTATCAAAAATGGCCAGATCTTCCAAACAAAATATCAACAAAGATATTATGGCATTAAACAACACCCTAGAAAAAATGGACTTAGCTGATACATATAGAGCCCTTCATCCCAAAGAAGCTAAATACACATTCTTTTCAAATGCACATAGAACATTTTCAAAGATAGACCACATGATAGGACACAAAATGAGACTCAACAAATTCAAGAATATTGCAATCATACCAAGTATTTTCTCTGACCACAAGGGACTGAAACTGGAAACCAACCCCAAAGGAAAAAACCCAAAAGACCCAAAATCATGGAGACTGAATGGTATGCTATTAAACAATGAATGGGTCAAGAATGAAATTAGGGAAGAAATCAAAACATTCCCGGAAGCAAATGAAAATGATCTCACAACAACCCAAAACTTATGGGACACAGAGAAGGCAGTCCTGAGAAGGCAGTTTATAGCAATACAGGCCTACCTAAAGAAGATAGAAACATTTCAAATAAACAACCGAACCCTATTCCTGCAAGAATTTGAGGAAAAACAACAAAGACAGCCCAGAGCAAGCAGAAGGAAGGAAATAACCAAGATTAGAGCAGAATTAAATGACATAGAAACTAAAAGCACAATTATAAGCATCAATGAATCCAGGAGTTGGTTCTTTGAGAAGATAAACAAAATACACAAGCCTTTAAGTAGGCTCATCAAGAAAAGAAGAGAGAGGACACAAATAAACATAATCAGAAATGAAAGAGGAGAGATTACAACTGATACCACAGAAATAGAAGGGATTGTAAGAAATTACTATGAAGAACTGTATGCCAAGAAATTTGAAAACCTAGGGGAAATGGACACATTTCTAGCAAAATACCATCTTCCAAAACTCAATGAAAAAGAAGCAGAAAATCTCAATACACCAATAACAGCAAAAGAAATTGAAGCAGTAATCAAAAAACTCCCATCACACAAAAGCCCTGGACCAGATGGTTCACAGGAGAATTCTACAAAGCATTTAAGGAAGAGCTAACCCCTATTTTCCACAGACTATTCCAAAAAATCCAGAAGGATGGAAAACTCCCAAATTCTTTATGAAGCCAGCATCATCCTAATTCCAAAACCAGATAGAGATACAACAAAGAAAGAAAACTTCAGGCCAATATCACTGATGAACATAGATGCTAAAATCCTCAACAAAATATTGGCAAATCACATCCAACAATATAACAAAAAGATCATACACCATGACCAAGTGGGATTCATCCCAGGAATGAAAGGATGGTTCAATATTCGCAAATCAGTAAATGTAATACATCACATAAATAAAAGCAAAGACAAAAAATACATGATCATATCAATAGATATGGAAAAAGCTTTTGATAAGGTACAATACCCATTTATAATAAAAACACTCAGCAAAGTGGAAATAGAGGGAGCATTCCTCAATATAATAAAGGCCATATATGAGAGACCTAGAGCCAACATCATACTCAATGGGCAAAAACTAAAAACTTTTCCACTATGATCAGGAACAAGACAAGGATGTCCACTTTCACCACTTGTATTCAATATACTATTGGAAGTTTTAGCCACAGCAATCAGGCAAGAAAAGGAAATAAAAGGCATCCAAATTGGAAATGAGGAAGAAAAACTGTCACTGTTTGCAGATGACATGATAGTGTACATGGAAAATTCTATAGACTCCACCCAAAAACTGCTCGAACTGGTTAATAAATTTGGCAAAACAGCGGGCTACAAAGTCAATATCCAGAAATCAAAGGCATTTTTGTATACCAACAATGAATCAGCAGATGCAGAAATCAAGGAAAAAATCTCATTCCATATAGCAAAAAGAAAAATAAAATATCTGGGAATAAACCTAACTAAAAAGGTAAAAAACCTGTGTGCAGAAAACTACACAGCCCGGAAGAAAGAAATCAAGGAAGACACAAACAAATGAAAACATATGCCTTTTTCATGGATTGGAAGAATTAACATCATCAAAATGCCCATACTACCCAAAGCAGTTTACAGATTCAATGCAATACCTATTAAAGTAACAATGGCATATTTCACAGACATAGAATAAACACTTCAAAAATTTTTATGGAACCATAAATGACCCAGAATAGCAGCTGCACTTTTGAGAAAGAAGAACAAAGTAGGAGGGATCACAATACCTGATATCAAACTGTGTTACAAGGCCACTGTAATCAAAACAGCCTGGTACTGGCATAAAAACAGGCACATAGACCAATGGATTAGAATGGAGAGCCCAGAAATCAACCCAACTCTCTACAGTCAATTAATATTCGACAAAGGGGGCAGTAACATAAAATGGAGTAAAGATAGCCTCTTCAACAAATGGTGTTGGGAGAACTGGACAGCTATGTGCAAAAAAATGAAACTTGAGCACCAACTTACACCATATAGCAAAATAAATTCAAGGTGGATAAAAGAGTTAAATATAAGGTGTGACACCATTAAAGTCCTAGAGGAGAACATTGGCAAGAAAATCTCAGATATTTCACGCAGCTACATTTTACTGATATGTCCCCTAGAGCAAGGAATATAAAGGAAAGAATAAACAAATGGGATCTCATCAAAATATAAAGCTTCTACATGGCTAAACAAAACAGTATTAAATTAAAAAGACAACCAACTGTATGGGAAAACATATTTGCCAATGATACCTCAGACAAAGGTTTAATCTCCAAAATATACAAAGAACTTACACGACTCCACTCTAAGAAGACAAGCAACACATTAGAAAGTGGGCAAAGGACTTGAACAGACATTTTTCCAAGGACATACAGAAGATCCAGTGACACATGAAAACACACTCAATATCACTAGCTAATTAAAACCACAAATTGAAACCACAATGAAATACCACTTTACACCGGTCAGGATGGCTATAATAAACAAAGCAACAAACAACAAATGTTGGAGAGGGTGTGGGGAAAAAGGGACCTTAGTTCACTGTTGGTGGGATTGCAGACTGGTACAACCATTATGGAAAACAGTATGGAATTTTCTCAGAAAAATAAAAATCGACCTGCCTTTTGACCCAGCAATTCCGCTGCTAGGATTATATCCCAAGAATCCTAAAACATCAATTCCAAAGAACCTATGCACCTCAATGTTCATAGCAGCACAATTTACAATAGCCAAGAGTTGGAAGCAACCTAGGTGCCCATCAGTAAATGAATGGATCAAAAAATTGTGGTACATATACACAATGGAATTCTATGCAGCAGAGAGAAAGAAGGAGCTCCTACCCTTTGCAACAACATGGATGGAACTGAAAAGCATTATGCTGAGTGAAATAGGCCAGGTGCTGAAAGACAAATACCATATGATCTCATCTTTAACAGGAAGCTAAACAACAAAACAAACAAGCAAGCAGAATAAAAGCAAAGACCCTGAAATAGAGAACAAGGAGACAGTGACCAGAGGGGAGAGGGAAGGGAATTTAAGGGGAAAAGGGGGGAGGGATTTGGAAGAACAAATAGGAAGAACACAGGGATGAGAACTAAGGGGGTTTGGAAATGGGAGGGAGGTGGGGGACGCGGGGCAGGGGAGGCTGAGATGGGAGAAATAGACAAAAAACTGTACTTGAAAAATAACTAAATAAAATTTTTAAAAGGTAAATAAATAAAGTAACTTGATTTGTTTTTTTGTTAGTTTTTGGTCTCTTGGAGAAAGTTATTCAATACTGTGATTATGACCTCTGAGTTTAATACCCCTGTGATGTTTTTGTCTTCCTTTTTTGCTGTTTTCCAGATCGCCAAGAGGTTATCTCCAAAAAAATATTGGAGTTGGACCCATGGGAAAATCAGTGGAATGTTATAGCTATCGATGTCCTCATGCATGACAGCTATGATGTCTGCTTGGTTGCCAGGATGAATCCTCGAGATCTCATCCCCCCACCTTCAGATTTGGTGGAAGAAGGCAAGGAGCACTGAGGTCAGAATTGCTACAGAACCTCCTGTTGTGTCTGCAAAGGAGGAATTAGAAATGGAGAGAGATCTTGGGCATCCATACATGTGCTTTGAATGTGTACTAGCCCATGTGCAGAGCAGCAAGGACTGGTCACTACAAGGGGTGTGTACAGAGCCCACCCTCAGGAACCTCCACTTGCTTAGGGTGGACAAGGAACAACCAGGCAGAATGTAGTGATGGCACAGGAGGAATACAGGGTGAATTTCACACTGCTGTGGACTTAAGAATATCATTGCCAAGAAGCAGGCCTTCTATTAGGGCCTCAGAGGATGAAAGGAAAGCAGACCCATGTGTGCAATTGATAGTGAGATCGTGGATTTCCATGATCTGAATAGCTGAATGAAGGCCAGAGGTGGACCAGTTGGCCTGGGCCAATGCCTTTGGTATAAAAGCTAGAAAAGTAGGTTATAGCTACATGACCAACATTTGGAAGACCAAGGACTTTGGAACTAGTCTCTGAGAAAGGTCATGATCTCAAAATTGTAGTGTAAAGGAAGACTTTGTGCTCTCTTCAAGCTTCAGTCTTATAAAGACCATCTATTCTCATGCAGAATACTCTTCTGCTGCAACAATATTATTCAAAACAGTGCTAGCAGTGGGCTACAAGTTCATAACATCCCTGCCACTCAAGCCCAACCACAGTGAGCAGAGAGATTCTGCCCTTGGCTGGGACTGTGTCAGCAAAGGAGATGCAGGGTTCTGTAGCCATGGTCCTCTCTTGGGTTGTTACAGAGGGTCCTGGATTGAACTTACACAGGCTGCCCTTGACTAGCTCTGAAACACACATGGACTTTTACAGGCTGGTCCTGGATGAACACAACTTAACTACACCACTCAACCCAGACACAGCCAGGCTCTGTAGTAAATAAGAGAGAAAGCATGCCACTTTGGTGGCCAGCCACCCTCTTATATAATCTTTGTAATATCTTTCTCAAGGTTGAAGAAGAAGAATGTAAATTCCTTCTTCAGCCCACAGTTGAACATAATCAGAAAACAGCCACTCCCAAAATATATTTTAGAAATTACACCTGGGAACCCTGGCCAGGTGGTTTGGTTTATTGGAGCATTGTCCCATACACCAAAAGGTTATGGGTTCAATTCTCAGTTGGGGCATATACCTAGGTTGCATGTTCAATCACCAATTGGGGTGTGTATGTGAGCAACTTGTCAATGTTTCTCTTTAATATCAATGCCTCTCTCCCTCTCCCTCCCTCTCTCCCTTCTCTCTATTCTCTCACCTCTCTCCTCTTCTCTCCCTCTCTCCCTTCTCTCCTCTCTCCCCCCCTCTCTCTCCCTCTTTCTCTCCCTTTCTCATCAATAAATATAACCTTAGGTGAGGATAAAAAATCACCTGGGAAATTCATCTGTTTTACTTACCATCGATACCTCTGGAAGCACAGTGAATTCGAAGAATGCATTTTGATAGATGATATTCAACAATTTCTCAAGACTTTCACCATACACAAGTCTCTGTTTTAAGCAGGAGTGGTTGGTAAATCCCCTAGAACTTTACCAGAAGGAGACATTCCTGGATCAAGACAGCTTTTCCTTGGTATACAGTTGTGTGACTGTGGTGACCACTACTCCATATCTCCAGGTTCTAGCTGCTAACCCAGGCTGGAGAGACATGTCCATGGAAACAAGCCAGTTGTAAATCTGCTTCTGCCACCATGAAGGGGGTCTAGTTAGACCCAAGGTAATTTGTCCCCTAGTAGGCTAGACATGGTAGGAGTCATGTCTATCTCTCTGCAGTTATACCAACCTGCCTTCTGCAATTCCTGGCATGTATGAGTCTTTGAATGGCCAGTACAGGGTAGCATTTCTTAATCTGAGTTCTTGGTTTCTGAGCATGCCAGGAATCTCAATTAAAATAAGTTAACTCTTCTCCCTGGTGAAGGGTCCTAATCTGTGGGTTCTTTTTCTTGCTGCAAAAGCAGAGTAGTTCCTTTCAGCAGATGTATTAGCTGGTGGTGTCCATGTTGAGGGGAACCACCACAGGTCTCTGTTTGACTGACCTCCTTTTAATGGAACCCCTACATCTGCTCCACCTATCTGAATATAAAAGCTGTCACATTTCCCTGGATTAGAGAGGCATTGCTAGCATGTCAGGACACTTTTCTGGATGCATTAGATTTCAGATCTTGGCTTTAGTCCCAGGTCTGCTACTTAGCTGTGTGATCTTGGGCAAAATAACCTTTCTAAAGCCTTATTTTGTTGATATACAGAATGGGAAGAAAAATTCTTTATAAGTTTGGTGTGAGGGTTGAATGAGAAAATGGTAGCAGAGTGCCTGTATGGCACTAAAACAGTAAATATTTATTAGCTGCTAGTAGTAGTAGTAGTAGTACACTCAGCATTTCTCAAAGCATAGTGCCCAGAATAACCCAGTGCTTGAGTGCAATCTCTTGAAATTCTAGGGAGAAACATACATATAGTTTGAGATAGTTCTTTTTTTAGTAAACTCTTTTTCTTTTTAACTTTTCTTTATGTATGGTTTGAGAAAGAGAGATTTGTTGTTCCATTTATTTATGCATTCATTGGTTTGTACTTCTATGTGCTCTGACTGGGGATCAAACTCACAACCTTGGCATATTGGGACAATGTTCTAACCAACTGAGCTACATGGCCAGGACTGAGGTAGCTCTTAATTTTCCAGACCCAGCCTCTTGGCTCCTCTAGTTGGTGTGTTTAGACAAGCAATGGTTTGATTTAGTGTTTTTTTTTAAGCCCTTGTGCTTCTTTTCTGACTTTCATACTTGCAGCTCAAAACTAGGCACTTCTGCCCTCCTGTTGTTAGTGTTAGAGATTCAGCTTTGAGATGGCATTTTTCTTTCAATCCATTTTTCACTTTAATATTGCAATGGAGGACTCTTATAAACCTTTGGCTATTTGTTAGCTCTCTTTGTGAAGCAGGATGGTTTGACACTGAACAATAGAACACAAAAGAAAAGTGATTTGGATGCTGGGGCTAATAGAAGAATACAGCTGTCAAATATACCTAGGTTCAGTTTGTGTTCTTCAAGAAAGCATTATTGTTCTCACTGGTTGATTATAATGAGCAAATACTTTGAATTTGAACTTATTAAATTTTACTAATGAAAGATCACTTTTGTTTTGTTTTCCATATTGCAATTCAGTGTCAGTTTCATTTGAAGAAGGGGTTCCTATGCCCAGGAAGTGCTGAGTGCCACCAGTGGGGTTGGGGCTGGGGGGCATGACCAGCCATAAGATTATCAGGAGTAAGGCTCAGAGGTCAGAATGTATCAGGCAGGTGAGGAACAGGAGGTGGACCCATTTGCAGGGTGGTTGAAGCACAGGAGGATGCAGGAAAAGGAGATGAGGCCAATCGCAGAAGCCCTCAGATAACACACCAAGGAATTGGTCTTCATGCCCCATCAACATGGCTTAAGGCAAGGAAGCCCTTTAAGAACACCTTTCCACAGCCCTGTGTAGATCACTAGAGTGAGAGTAGGCATACGTAGATGAGCAGGAGGCCTTATAGGAACCCAGGTCACAAAAGCTGACAACCTAGTAACAGGGAACAATGAGAGTCCAGTGCAGCTAAAAATGGAGGGTGTCAACAGTTTGCTTGCCAATTCAGAGCCAGGGAGATGCCAGGAGTTTAACCACAAGGGAATCAAATTTTTCAATCAAAACCAGAAACCAAAAAAATTTTCAAGGGTTCCTACCCCCTTCATCTTAAAGTGTTTCTTAATCTTGTTACTGTCCAGATGGATGCAGCTGTTCTTCCTGAGCCTGGGATCACCAAGAGAGATGTATCAGGGTATAGAATCAAGTCACCCCATTTATTTGCCAACTCTAGCATACCCAGCTGGATGTTCCCCATAGGCATCTCCCTATTCTTCTTGTATACAGCAACCAGACCCCAACCCAGCTTACTGGTAAATCCTGCTTTGAATGAACTAGTTGTAGCAATATCATTTCCTTCCCCACAGTTAGTTTAACTCAGCCATGTGGCACAATCCTGGCCAAGAAGACATACAGAAATATCTACAAAGGGGCTTTGGGAAAGGTTTTCTCTTTTAAAAAGCTGTAGAGAAAAAGATGGGCTCTTTCTCTGCTGAGTCTTTTCAAGTCTGCATGCCCCCCTAGAACTTCAGTAACTGTCTTGCAGTGATGACAGATTGGGACGAGACTGCTGAGGTTGATCCACAGGGGAAAAGACCCAGGTCCTAGACCCATGGGTTCTGTGGATTGGTATATGATACTAAATGAATCAGCCCTGGACTTTTTGCTAGATGCTAATTGTTGCAACAAATGTCCCTTCTTGTTCAGGTTCCCTTCAGTTACTTGCAGCCCAAGACTTCCTAATTGATGCTCTAAACTTCCTCCACCAAAGCCCCTTTCTCTTGAGATCAAATTGATAGCTCTGCTACAGGAAAGGACTCAAATATTTCTGGACCTTGGAATATCTAAGTATTCTAAGTGAGAAAGGATTTAGTTCATTGCAGTGAGGGAAGTTTTACATGTCTGGCAAGTGACTATGGTTTACAATCCCAAGTTACTCCTTAATTATTTCCTGCATATTTTTCTCTACAAGCTTCAACATTTTTGTTTACTACAAACTCCACCCACCAAATGTTTTTGTAAATAGTGTTTTATTGACACACAGTCACAATCATCACTTATAGATTGCCTGTGATACTTTCACACAGTAACAGCAGAGCTGAGGGGCAAAAGAGATCTTTAGTCCACAGAGTCTAGAATATTTACTAGCCAGCCATTCACAGGAATCATTTGCCAACTTCTGGTATATTCCATCAAGTTTTCTTTCTTTTTTTTAAATTTTATTTTAAATTGATTATGCCATTACATTTGTTCTATTTCCCCTCCTCCATTCCCCTCCACCCTGCACAACCCTCCCCCACCATTCTCCCCCCTTTAGTTCATAAACACGTGTCTCAGGTTCTTTAGATTCTATATTTCCCATACTGTTCTTGCCCTCCCCCCTATCTATTTTCTACCTACCATTGATGCTACTTATTTTCTGGACCTTCTCCCCCCCCCCCACCGTTGCAAACCCTCCATGTGATCTTCATTTCTATGGTTTACTCATGATCTAGCTGTCCTCTTAATTTGCTTTTGTTTTAGGTGTGGTTGTTAATAACTGTGAGTTTGCTGTCCTTTCACTGTTCATCTTTTTTATCTTCTTTTTCTTGGGTAAGTCCCTTTAATATTTCATATAATAAGGGCTTGGTAAGAATGAACTCCTTGAATCTGATCTTATCTGAGAAGCACTTTATCTGTCCTTCTATTCTAAATGAAAACTTTGCTGGATAGAGTAATCTTGGTTGTAGGTCTTTGGTTTTCATGACTTGGAATACTTCTTTCCAACCCCTTCTTGCCTGTAAGGTCTCTTTTGAGAAATCCACTGACAGTCTGATGGGAATTCCTTTGTAAGTGACTGTCCCCTTATCTCTTGCTGCTTCTAGAATTCTCTCCTTCATTTTAATCTTGGCTAATGTAATGATGATGTGCCTTGGTGTGTTCTTTCTTGGGTCGAACTTCTTTGGGACTCTCTCAGCTTCCTGGATTTCCTGGAAGTCTATTTCCTTTGCCAGATTGGGGAAGTTCTCCTTTATTATTTGTTCAAATAAGTGTTCCACTTGTGGGTGTTCCTCTTCCCCTCTGGTACCCCTATAATTTGGATGTTGGAGCATTTAAAGATGTCCTGGAGGTTCCTAAGCCTCTCCTCATTTTTTTGAATTCTTGTTTCTTCATCCTTTTCTGTTTGGTCATTTTTTTCCTCTTTCTGGTCCACTGCTTTGATGTGAGTCCCAGTTTCCTTTCCATTGCTATTGGTTTCCTGTACATTTCCATTCATTTCAACTAGTTTAACCTTCATATGTTGCTCTAAATTGTGACTAATATCTACCAGTTCTGTGAGGATCCTGATCACCAGTGTTTTGAACTGTGCATCTGAAAGTTTTGCTATTTCTTGGTCGCTTAGATTTATTGGCTCTGGGGCTCTGAGTTGTTCTTGAGCCATGTTTTTATCTGTTTGTGCCTGTTACATAGGAGGAGAGGCGCCTTGGTGTTTATAGGGATGGGGCCACCCAGGTCGCAGGTTTGTGACACTGTATGTGGGGGCAGGGTCAGAGAGCGAGCAATGGCGGTCCTCTCCACTTGCCCAGTCTGCCTCACTGCTCGCCCCCACCTGCTTATCTGAGTGCAAATGTGCGAGTCTGCCACCCTGCGCCAGTCACTGGGGCCTGAGAGATCTGTTTCAACACTCACCTCTTCACTGGTTTATCTGCGTTCAAATGCAGGACCGACTGCAGACAGCCAGCAGTGCCTCTTCCCTGGGTTCCGCCTGTAGCTAGGCCGCACCTGGGATCTGTGCCCCTGGCTGCCTGTGCACCACCCGGATCTTTTTTGCCCGACTGGCACCGCTGCTGGTTTCGCTCCTCTCACTGGTTTAGCTGAGTGGTCCATTGTTTCTGGACTCCGTATTTGATTTTTTGTGTGGTTTGGTTATGTTTATTATTGTTAAAACTTTATTATTTTTAGATTTGGTTGTGCGAGGACAAAAAGTGTTCCCACCTACACCTCCATCTTGGCAGAAGTCCCACCAAGTTTTCTTGAAGAAAAATACTGAGCAAAGTGAATATATAAAGATATGTATTTGCATATTCTTTTTTTACATATATAACTCGACTTTAATCCATTCTTCTTTTATTCAACAATATATCTAAAACAGAAGTGTAGTATTTCATCATATATGTAGCATAATTTCTTAAACAAATCACCAAAAAATGGACATTTTGGTTGGTTACTCCAGCATTTTTCAAAGGGGAGGGATTTGACTTTCCACTCTACTGATCTGGGATCTGGCACCTGGGTGGTGATTGTTTAGAATATGGGCTTTGCCTTGCACTGAAAGTCTCTGTGAGAGGTTGGGAGCATTAGATGCAGATGCAGAAGCCTGCCTACTTGTGGTGGACATTGCCCCAAGCTACTTAGAGGCATTTGGGCTTATTGAGAGACATTGTGGATAACAGCCAAGTTAGGAAACAGATTTGTCTCATGCAAAGATTTGCCTGGGCTGAGCAGAGGACCTCTGTGAGATAGCAGTCAGCTGTCATTGAAAGGACAGCTGGACAATGCAGGCATAGTCTCCGCATCCTGTGGGAGGTCATGCCCATCCTGCAGCATTGAGAATCTCAACAGTAGATGATCTCCACTGGCATGGAGCACAGGAAAAATACATGGGTCAGGAAGAATAGCTGAATCTTCAGGTTCCAGAGAAACACAAGGCTTTTCACCAGCAAAAACACTTCCTTCAGATCAGAGTCATGACTTAAGGCCCAGAAGCCCTGCTGAAACTTATTTCTCTACCTTCCCAATACTGTGAATTTTTGGAGCAATATTATCACAGGGAAGTGTGCCAGTATTGGATCTTCTTCATCTGAGGGGGCATGCCATGAGAGGGTGGACCTGGAACAGTGCAGAGGTGGAAAGTGTTCCCTGTGGCACAGATATGAGAGCCCCTGGCTCCAGACAAAACCCACTCTCTCCCCCTTTCTCTATTTCTACTCAACACATATGGCTGCTCAGCCCTCAACTGGGCACTACCAAAATATCTAGAATAAAGCTAGAGAATACTTTGCCATTCCTCAGAGACAAGACACACTCAAAGAAAATCACATGTTTTGAGCACTTTTTTTGAGCCAAGCACTGTTATGGGAAAAGAAACACAATGCAACTCCAAGTTCTAAACAAGTTCGCATTCTGGAGGAGAGAAGAGATGTGCAAATACAGTGACATGATCTCTTCTGAGAGGTTAGAGTCTAAATCCACACCAGGTGAAAATGCAGTATAATTATCCCTACATTCATTTCCAATTGCAGCTGAAAAAAATCAGTATACATTTACTGGCTTAAGTTGCAGTATGAATTTATTATATTATACTTCTATAATTCAGAAATCTAAAACAGATCTCTGTGAGCTAAAATTGGAGTGTCTTCAGGGCTATAGTCCTTTTGAGGCTCTGGGGAACAATCCATGTCCTTGCCTTCTTCAGCCTTGGGGGGCTGCTGGCACTTCTCGGTTTGTAGATTCTTCCTTTGTCTTCAAAGTCAACACTTATATTGCCCTGCCTTGCTCCTATTGTCACACCTCCCTCTCTGACTCCCTCTCCCACTTTTTATGAGCCTGTGATTACACTGAGCCCACCAAAATATTCAGGATATTTTTCCAATCTTAAAGTAGGCTGATTAGCAACCTAATTCCCCTATGCCATTAAATTTTAGATCGCTGTCCCTTGGTATCTATGGTGACTGGATCCAGGACCTAACCAATTCCCAAGTATGCTGATGCTCAAGTCCTCTTATATAAAATGGCATAGTATCTGCCTATAACCTATGAACACCTCTCATTTACTTTGAAATCAACTCCAGATTATTTACAATACCTAGTATAATGTAAACACTATGAAAATAGTTGTGAGACTTCCCCCAAGATGGAGGCATAGGTGGAAGCACTGCGCCTTCTCCCACAACTAAGTTTAAAAACAACAAAGTTTTAGCAACAAAAACGCAGCCAAACTACAGAAAATTGAACTACATGGAAGTCCGACAACAACGAACCCTTCGGCCAAACCAGTAAGAGGAGAAGAGCCAGCAGCAGATCGGGGTTGGGCAGGAAATCCACTGGACCAACCCGGGCACCCAACCCGGGTGCACCAGCAGCCATGGGCAGATCCCAGGTGTGAAGAATCAGGCAGACTCACTGAGGGCACAAGGCAGTGAACCCACTGAGGGCTGATCGAGGTTACACATGCACGCTCAGATAAACTGGTGAAGGAGCTAGCAGTGAGATGGACCACGCAGGCCCCAGTGGCAGGAAGCAGCAGAGGGAACTGCCATTGTCCCTCTCTGACCCCACCCCCACATACAGTATCACAAACCAGCGACTTGGGTGACCCCACCCTGGTAAACAACTAATGCTCCGCTCCTCATACATAACAGGCACAAACAGATAAAACACGGCTCAAGAACAACTCAGAGCCCCAGAGCCAATAAATCTAAGTGATCAAGAAATAGCCAAACTTTCAGATGCACAGTTCAAAACACTGGTGATCAGGATGCTCACAGAACTGGTTGATTTTAGTCACAAATTAGAGGAACATACAAAGGCTAAACTAATTGAAATGAATGGAAATACACAGGAAACCAATAGTAATGGAAAGGAAACTGGGACTCAAATCAATGGAGTGGACCAGAAGGAGGAAAAAAATGACCAAACAGGAAAATATGAAGAAACAAGAATTCAAAAAATGAGGAGAGGCTTAGGAACCTCCAGGACATCTTTAAATGCTCCAACATCTGAATTATAGGGGTACCAGAAGGGGAAAAGGAACAGCCATGAGTGGAAAGCTTATTTCAACAAATAATAAAACAGAACTTCCCCAATCTGGCAAAGGCAATAGACTTCCAGAAAATTCAGGAAGCTCAGAGAGTCCCAAAGAAGTTGGACCCAAGAAGGAACACACCAAGACACATCATAATTACATTAGCCAAGATTAAAATGAAGGAGAGAATTCTAGAAGCAGCAAGAGATAAGGGGACAGTCACCTACAAAGGAGTTCCCATCAGACTGTCAGCGGACTTCTCAAAAGAGGCCTTACAGGCAAGAAGGGGTTGGAAAGAAGTATTCCAAGTCATGAAATCCAAATACCTACATCCAATATTGATCTATCCAGCAAAGCTTTAATTTAGAATGGAAGGGCAGAGAAAGTGCTTCTCCGACAAGATCAGATTCAAGGAGTTCATCATCACCAAGCCCTTATTATATGAAATATTACAGGGACTTATATAAGAAAAAGAAGATTAAAAAGATGAACAGTGAAAGGACAGCAAACTCACAGTTATTAACAACTGCACCTAAAACAAAAGCAAACTAAGAGAACAGCTGGGTCAGGAGGCGAACCATAGAAATGAAGATCTCATGGATGGACAGCAACAGGGGAGTGGGATAAGGAGAAGGGGGGAGAAGGTACAGAAAATAAGTAGCATAGACAGTAGGTAGAAAATAGATAGGGGGAGGGCAAGAATAGTATGGGAAATTAGAATCTAAAGAACTTGAGACATGTGGTCATAAACTAAAGGGGGAATGGTGGGGGAGGGGGTGTGCAGGGTGGAGGGAAATGAAGGGGGGAATAGAACAACCATAATGGCATAATTAATAAAATATATTTAAAAAATAATTGTTATACTGTACTGTTTAGGGGATAATGACAATATAAATATTTGTACCTGTTCAGTACAGACACAACCATCATATTCCTAATTACATAGTACATATCAGTAAAAACAAAACATTTTTTCCTGAATATTAATCTATAGTTGGTTGAATCCATGGATGCAGAACCTATAAATATGGAAAACCAACTGTGTATTACAGGTTCCATGGATATGGATATACAGTTTGGGGAAACCATTATCTTGCCTACCACATCATCTAATGCCTAAGACTGCCCGTGAAGTTCATCTGTACACAGCCTGTGTAGGACTTCATGTGAACACCAAAGTTTGGGCACTACCACAGAAAACAATGGCAAGTGTAAATGTAGGTTCATAATCAGTAACAGCTGAAGTTCCAGAGACCTCTGTGGTATCCCTGAGGGGAAGAGTGAGGAGGAAAGGCTCCTAGCTGTGGGATTACTTCCATCTTCCTTTAACATGAAGACTTTCACACATCTCACAGGAGTCAAAGAAGTGTAGTAACAGCTAAACACAAATTATCACATAAGTTAAATGGCTCTCTGGTACAAACAAAATGACCCAAACAGGTGAAGGGCATGGAAGGGACACCATAGCTTTAAGTAGTCCTGGGAGGGAGACTCCTCTCACAAACAGGTGACTAGGGTCTTGGGTGTGTTAGATAGACAAGAAAGAGTAAGGGCATTCCAGGAGCAGGGGCAGCCTGTACAAAGGCCCTACCATAGAAAAGGCTCAATTGTGCAGGTATGGACAGAAACTTTGTACAGGCAGTACAAGGGCAGGTGGCTGGAATGGCAGACTGAGCCAGGTGGAATTGGCCCTGGGTGTGAACTCTCAGAAGCCAGCATGGAATTTTATGAAAATCACATTGGTGGCCACACCTTGGTGTGAACAGGAACAGGCAACCTGAGAGGAAGCTGTTGGCAGAGCCCAGCTAAGTATGGTGGAGGCCATTTAAGTTTGTGAGAGGAACAAAGAGAATGAACTATACTCCAGGCCAGTGTTGGAGTGGAGTGGAATGGATGGGACTTAGGACTCCAACTCCCTGCTGCCTACCTGTGTGGATTGGACAGGTTGTTTTACTACTGCATCTACATTTGTTCACCTGTACCATCTCCCTGCAGTAGGAAGATGAGGTGAGATCATCTACTGGAGCTCCTAGACAGCATCAGGCACAAAGAAGTGCTCCGAAGCATTACATGCTGTGGCTATTAGGCACAAGGTGAGGGGAATCATCATGGCCCCAGTCTTCTGTCTGATAGCTTCCCACTGTGTCCTGAGAGCTTTTCGCATACCCTAGATGATGAAGGTGAGCCCCCTGAGGTCCCATAATTGTCCCTTTGTTTCCCAGGGTCACTACATTAGAAATTTCTTTCTTTTGAAAGATAGGGGTTGAGGACCAGACTGAATTTTATTTCTCACTTTGTAAAAGAAAAACTATCAGGGGAAAAAAAACAGAAATCTCTTCGCTTTTGCTTATAAGCAAAAGTGGAGGGAGAAGATGGCAGCCAAGTAGGTGGAAGCTGAGTCCACTTGCTCTTGCTACCAGCTCGGATTCTTGGCTGATCTTCCAACAAATATCCTAAACAGTCAATGGAATCATAGCTGATATGAACTTTGGAAGCAAAGGAATACAGAAGACACTTCACAATAGCCAGTAAGGAGATTTTATAGTATGAAGGAGAAATAACCCATGCAAGGGGCCTGCAATCTCAGAAAGTCTAGACAGAAATCACACATTTGTGGCTCCCTCCCAGGGCAGGGAACCCCCAGACCCAGGCCAGGGGTAACTTGGGGGGATATACAAAGTCAGGGAAATCTAGGCTACACACACACAGTGGGCAGCACACCCATAGCTACAGCACCAAATACCAACTAGGAGAGTGCCAGAGAGGGAGAGACTCTATCTGCCCCTGGGTCAGACAGCTAGTTCATCAGAAACTATATATTATTGGAAATAAGCTAGAACAGACCAATACAGGTGGCACAGGGGCAAGGGAACATAACCCACAGATTTCCCAGAAGACTGAACAGTTCCTCGTAGGGGAGACCCAGTCATCCCACCTTCTGAATTTCAATGAAAGCCCCATCTAGAGGCAGGCGAATGTTATATATGCTGTGCTGCCAGAAGATGGAGGACCCATACGTGGGCTTTGAGCTAATAAAAAGCCAGAGGTGCTTGGGTGGTGTATCTCAGTGGATTGAGCATGGGCCTGTAAACCAAAGGGTCACCAGTTCAATTCCCAGTCAGGGCACATACCTGTGTTGCAGGCCAGGTTCCCAGTAGGGAATGCACAAGAGGCAACCACACATCGATCTTTTTCTCCCTCCCTTTCCTTCTCTCTATAAAAATCTTAAAAAAAAAAAAAAAGAAGAAGAAGGCCAGAGGTGGATCCAGAAGGAGAAGACAGAAGGCAAACACCAAAGTCTTCTGAGATAAGTTCCACCTCATTTTTCTTCAGAATTTGTGTTATTTTTTTCTCTCACAGAATCTTTTAATATTTCTTCTTTTTCTTCAATTGTATTACAACTAATTCATTATTTTTGTCTTTTATTTTTATTCTTTTTGTTTATAGTTTGTTTGTTTGTTTGTTTGTTTGGCTCAAATAATATCTTTATTATCACACAAATCAGAGCAACATGAGGCAAGTAGTTCTTCAGGCTGAGTAGCTTGGAAGTCTGGAAAAATCCATCAACACTATCATGAGACAAACAATGTCCATGAGGGAAATAAACCCTTTCATGCTACCAGAACATAACTCAGGTCCTCTTAGCTAAACACAGGTCATTTCCACACCTTTACTAGTCAGCAAGGAGAAAATGAGTCCCCCCCCCTCACTTAACTCAGGTTTATTCTAATTCCCCCAGAGATTGGAGACAGTAACAAAGTTCTGCCTTCTCTGAGGATATCAGGACAACTTAGTTGATAGAGCTGAAATGTTTTCCACCAGACACTGACACTCAGAAATCTGGCAAGGAGCCTGAGCGGGTCTGAAAGTGCAATATAGCCTCTGAAAACTTTCCTTGTACCCATCAGTTATATAGTATCTCCCCAATGTTAATGTTCAGATATATGAAGATCAACATCTGACTAAAGTCTTCCTCTCAAAGAGAAATCACAGAGCCCCTTTCCAAATGAGTGCTGTTCTGTTGACAGCATTCCTAAAGCCTTCCTGCAGTGTGAACTTTCTGGTGCTGAATGAGGTGGGAGCTTAAGCTATAAGATTTCCCACATTCATTGCACTCATATGACCTTTCTCCAGTATGAACATTTTGGTGCCAAACAAGATGGGAGGTTCTTATGAAATCTTTCCCGCATTTGCTGCACACAAAAGGCCTTTCACCAGTGTGCACTCTCTGGTGTGAAATAAAGTCAGAGCTTCGACTAAAAAATTTCCCACATTCAATGCACTCAAACGGCCTTGTCTCAGTGTGAATTCTCTGGTGTTTAATGAGGGTGTACTTGTGGCCAAAGGATTTTCCACAATCACTGCAAACATACAGATTTTCTCCAGTATGGATGCTCTCATGCTGAACAAGTGTAGATTTGTGTCTGAAGACTTTCCCACAATCATTGCACTTATAAGGCCTTGCTCCATTGTGAACTCTCTGGTGCACAATCAGATTGGAACGATGGCTAAAATATTTTCCACATTCACCACACTTATAAGGCATTTCCCCAGTGTGAATTCTTTTGTGCTCTGTAAGGTTGTCTTTGCGGCTAAAGGATTTCCCACACTCACTACACTTGTAAGGCTTTTCTCCAGTGTGGATTCTCTGGTGCTGAACAAGTGTGTCTTTACAGCTGAAGGCTTTCCCACATTCGCTGCAGCTATAAGGCATCTGTCCAATGTGAAAGGCCTCCCCACCCTCATTGCCACTTGTCTTCCTCTTGCTGTGGGTTGCCTTTTGCTGGTGACTTCCCAAACAGGCCTGGAAGTTTTTCTGTTCTTCCTCACATGTATATGATTTCTCTGACAGATGAGGTTCTTCACAAACTCTGCAGTTCTTTACAAATGAGGTCTTGCCTTTGTCTCTCCTTAAGGATCTCTCTACATTGTACTGCTTCTGGTGCTGAAGGAAGTTTGTACCAAATGAGAACCATCTCCCGCATGCCTCACATGTGTAAGGTTTCAGTCCATAGTGTGTTTCCTGGTGTTCATGCAGGCACAAAACATCTTTCAAGATAGGGCCACATATATTACAAGGATGAGCCATCTGGACTGATGAACCTGCCTTGGAAGTATTATGAAGATGTGACACTTCCACAGACTTGCTCTGCTCTGATGCTGCCTCCTCATCCTTCACTCCAAGCCAACAACCAGGGCCCATCCAAGCCCCCTCTGCTGTGGCTAGAGTCATGACCTCTCAGTCGGGTACTCAAGAGTTCTTTCCCTGGCTACTATTCAGCAACCACAGATGATCTAGGCTGGGCCCATCCACTGCAGCTGCCACCATCACGGCCTAGACAGCGCAGAGCCATGAGGATTCTGAGTCCTGACACAGATCTCCGTGGTCCCTGCCACCTCAGAGCCTCTTCCTAGCGACAACAGGGTCTTTCCCCGCTTTCGTCAACCGAACTGTAGCTTGCTGACCATGCCATCCTAGAGCCAAAAGATGTCCCTTTTTGTTTATTGTTTTATATTTTTATTTCAAATCTCACAGTGAAGGTTAGAAGCCCTGCTGAAGGGTTATTACCCTTCCTTTGTCTTCATTTTTCTTCTTTCTGCTTTTCCTTATTTTCATTTAAAATTTTTTTTTAAAGTATGTTTTTTTGGTTTTTTTTTTTTAAAGATTTTATTTCTTTATCTTTAGGGGGGAAGGGAAGGAGAGAGGGAAAGAAACATCAATGTATGGTTGCCTTTCTTGCGTCCCCTGCTGGTAATTGGCCTGCAAGGAACCGGCCTGCAACCCCAGTATGTGCCCTGACTGGGAATTGAACCGTGATTGTCTGGTTCGCAGGCCCGCGCTCAATCCACTGAGCTATGCCAGCCAGGGCTCATTTTAAATTTTATTTTCCCCTTTATGTCTTGTTCTTATTCTTTACTCTATTTCTCCTCCCTCTACCTTCTCAAAATCATATTTATTTTCTTATTCAGCTCACATTCTTTTTCCCTTCTTTACATATCACATTATTTTTCCCTTCTTTATAGTATTCTTATTTTCTCCCTATTTTTAAGATCATTGCTTGTTTGGCATGGATGCCGTGCCGTGGTTATGGCTGTTTTTCTTCAACTATTCCTATTCACTATTTTTTATTTCAAACCTCATAGGTTACTCTACCCCTATCTTACCACATTTTTCCTTCCTCCTACCCCTGTATATTTGAGTTTGGATTTTTTTTCCCCTCTCTTAGCTTGGATTCCTATAGTCTTTTTAGTCTTATTATTGCTTTTTTCCTCTATCCACTCAAAATCATTTTTTTAATGCAGACAACTGTAATTAAAGAACAATAAAGTAAAAAAAAACACATTAAAGCCTTTTGATTCACTATAGCTATTATCTTTATTATGCTGAAAATGTCCCATATATAAAAGTTTTAACCCTTTGTGATAAAAGTTGCAAATATTTTCTGTTTGTCATATATCCTTACTTTCTTAAGATAAAGTTTTCAGTGCAAAATAAAATATACTTTTGTGAAATAAAAAAATCATTTTTCTTTACTGTAGAAATCTCATATTCTCCTTTTTCTTTCTTATAATATTCTTATTCTCTTTCTAACATTAGGAATATTTACTTACCATTCATTGTTATTGACCCTATTGTGGTTTTTTAATTTCATTCATATTGGTTAACTATTTTTTATTTTATTTTTAAATTTTATTTGATTTTATTGATTATGCCATTGCAGTTGTTCTATTCCCCCTTTGTTCCCCTCCACCCTGAACACCCCACCCCCACGATCCCCCCTTTAGTTTATGACCACGTGTCTCAAGTTCTTTAGATTCTATATTTCCCATACTATTCCTACCCTCTCCCTATCTATTTTCTACCTACCGTCTATGCTACTTATTTTCTGTACCTTTTCCCCCTTCTTCTCCCACTCCCCTGTTGCTAACCCTCCATGAGATCTTTATTTCTATGGTTCTGTTCCTGATCAAGCTGTCCTCTTAGTTTGCTTTTGTTTTAAGTGTGGTTGTTAATAACTGTGAGTTTGCTGTCCTTTCACTGTTCATCTTTTTTAGCTTCTTTTTCTTAGATAAGTCCCTGTGATATTTCATATAATAAGGGCTTGGTGATGATGAACTCCTTGAATCTGATCTTATCTGAGAAGCACTTTATCTGCCCTTCCATTCTAAATGAAAGCTTTGTGGATAGAGCAATCTTGGTTGTAAGTCTTTGGATTTCATGACTTGGAATATCTCTTTCCATCCCCTTCTTGCCTGTAAGGTCTCTTTTGAGAAATCCACTGACAGTCTGATGGGAACTCCTTTGTAGGTGACTGTCCCATTATCTCTTGCTGCTTCTAGAATTCTCTCCTTCATTTTAATCTTGGCTAATGTAATTATGATGTGTCTTGGTGTGTTCCTTCTTGGGTCTGCCTTCTTTGGGACTCTCTGAGCTTCCTTGATTTCCTGGAAGTCTATTTCCTTTGCCAGATTGGGGAAATTCTCCTTTATTATTTGTTCAAATAAGTTTTCCACTGGTGGCTCTTCCTCTTCCCCTTCTGGTACCCCTATAATTCGGATGTTGGAGTGTTTAAAGATGTCCTGGAGGTTCATAAGCCGCTCCTCATTTTTTTGAATTCTTGTTTCTTAATATTTTTCTGTTTGGTCATTTTTTTTCCTTCTGGTCCACTCCATTGATTTGAATCCCAGTTTCCTTTACATCACTATTGGTTTCCAGTACATTTCCCTTCATTTCAATTAGTTTAGCCTTTGTATGTTCCTCTAATTTGTGACTAAAATCAACCAGTTCTGTGAGCATCCTGATCACCAGTGTTTTGAATTGTGCATCTGAAAGTTTTGCTATTTCTTCATCGCTTAGAGTTATTGGCTCTGGGACTTTAAGTTCTTCTTGAACCATGTTTTCGTGTGTTTCTGCCTGTTATGCATGAGGAGCGGAGCCTTTGGTGTTCACCAGGGCAGGGCCACCCAGGTAACTGGGTTGTGATACTGTATGTGGGGGTGGGGTCAGAGCAGGGCAATAGTGGTCCCCTCTGCTGCTTCCCCTGCTGGGGCCTGTGAGGTCTGTCTCACTGCTCATTTCTTCACTGGTTTATCTGCAGGCAAATGTGTGACCGAGGTCAGCCTGCTGCCTTTTCGCCCTCATTGGGTCTGCCCATTGCAACCCCACACCTGGGATCTGCCAACTGCTCCCTGTCCATGTGCCTGAGTCTGTCTGTGCACCTGAGTTCCTCTGACCGAGTTTTCCTGTGCAACCCTGCTCTTCCAGCTGCTGGTTTCACCCCTCTTACCGGTTTGGTTGAAGAATTTGTTGTTATCAGGCTTCCGAAAAGTTCAATTTTCTGTGTTTTGGCTGTGTTTTCTGTTGCTAAAATTTTGTTTTCTTTAAACTTGGTTGTGTGAGAAGGCACAGTGCTTCCACCTATGCCTCCATCTTGGCAGAAGTCTACTACTATTTTTTATTTTTTTACACCTCACATTATAGCCTTCCCTTCTCTTACTCTATTTTGCCACCACCCTTCTCAGTTTTACTTACATTTTACATGTAATTTTCTCCCCTTCTTTGCTTTGTTTCTATTTCCTACTCTTATTTTTTCTCTTTCTTCCCTCCCAAAAGCATTTTACTCTTTTTCAGTTATCTCATATTCTTTTTTCCTCCCTTATAATATTTTTATCTCTTCCCAACTTATTAATCTTTCCTCAGTTTCTGTTGATATTGCTGATGTGGGAGGGGACATTTTTTTGTCACATAAGTTGGGTTTTCTGGATAGTTCTGCTTTGTTTTGCCAGCACATGTACAACAGCATACAAGGTATTGTGAAGTTTGTGATTCTCAGCCAGCCAGAGAGGAGAACCCATCATCAAATGAGCCATCAATAATCAAAGCCCAAATACAACAAGAGAGCTCACATAAACTAAATAAAGGGCATCACTAGAGCATCAAGGTCAAGAGATCAAAGGAACTTTGTCACTGAGTCTCACAGAACTCCTACCACATAAGGCTAACTAACCCACAGAGACAGGCAGTCAAAGCAGAGAAATCTGAGATGCAGAAACAAACAAACAAACAAAAGTCTCCTAAGATGGGGACACAAAGAAATAAATGCCAATAGAAAGAAAAGGAATCCCCAGGAAAAAAAAAGGATAAATTAATTTGAGGCAAGCAATCTATCAGACATAGAGTTCAAAATAGTAATTATAAGGATGTCAAAGAAATTCAGTGAGAACTATAAGGGACTTTATAAGAGCTACAAGAAACTTAGTGAGAACTTCAACAGCATGAAAAGGACATATTCACTATGTTGATAACTTGGAGAAAATTAAGAATACAATATTGGAAATGAAGAACACACTAGAAGGAATGAAAAGCAGGCAAATTGAAGCAGAGGACTGAATCAGTGAGCTGAAGTGCAAGGTATAAATAAAACACAGAGAAACAAAATGAAAAAAGATTCCAAAACAGTGAGTATAATTTAAGGGGCTTCAGGACAACATGACACATACCAACATTTGCATCATAGGATTATTAGAAGGGGAAGAAAAGGAGCCATGGATAGAAAACCTGTTTGAAAAAATAATGACAAACAACTTCCCTAACTTGGTGAGGGAAAAAGTCATGCAAGTTCAGGAAGCACAGAGAGTCCCAATCAAGATGAATCCAAAGAGGCACACACCAAGATAAATCATAAATAAAATGGCAAAATTTAAAGTCAAAGGGATAATATTTAAGGAAGCAAGAGGGAAACAGCTAGCAACATACAAGGGAGCTCTGATAGGGCTACCAACTGTTTTCTCAACAGAAATGTTACAAGCCAGTGGGAACTGGCACAAAATATTCCAAGTAATAAAAAGCAAGGAACTATAATCAAGACTACTCTATCCAGCAAGGCTCTCATGGAAGACAAAATAAAGAGCTTCCCAGACAAAAGAAAGCTAAAAGAGTATATCTCCACCAAACAAGCACTTCAAGAGGTGCTAAAAGGAACTGCTTTAAGATGAAGAAAGAAAGGGAGGAAGAATAACGGTATAATGGAAAAAATAGTAATGAACAATTATTTATCATTAATAACCTTAAATATAAATGGCTTAAGTGCTACGATCAAAAGGCATTATGTGGCTGAAAGGATAAGAAAACATAATCCTTCAATGCTGCCTACAAGAGTCCTACCTCAGAACAAAAGATATATACAGGCTGAAATTGAAGGGATGGAAAAAATATTTGAAGCAAACAGACAT